TCCATGCCTAGAACTTAATCTCTTCTGAGAGTTGAGGTAACGGAGGGCTTCGTGGTCCGAATAAAGGACGAATTCTTGGGGCAACAAGTAGTGGCGCCAATAGCGCAAAGCCTGGACCACCGCATACAGTTCCTTATCATATGTTGAATATCGTCGTTTGGCCTCATTTAACTTTTCACTGAAATAGGCGACAGGGTGACGATCCTGACTTAAAACTCCGCCTATACCTACCCCAGAAGCGTCACATTCAACTTCAAAGACTTTGGAAAAATCGGGAAGACGCATGACAGGAGCTTCTGTCATTCGCTCCTTGACTAACTTAAAGGCCTTCGCCGCCCCTCGTGTTCAATGAAACTCCCCTTTCTTCATGCACTCCGTGATAGGCGCCATAATAGTGCTAAACCTTTTAATAAAACGGTGGTAAAACGTAGCTAAGCCGTGAAAGCTCCTGACATCATGAATGGCCTTAGGCCCAGGCCAGTCAATTATCGCCTGAATCTTAGTAGGGTCAGCAGACACCCCTGTCGACGAGACAATGAACCCCAGAAAAACTACGCTATCGGTGAAAAATGAACATTTCTTGACATTAGCATACAGGTTAGTCTCGCGAAGGGTAGAGCAAACTTGTTTGAGGTGGTCACGGTGTTGCTCCTTAGTTTTACTATAGATGAGGATATCATCAAAGTAGACAACAAGAAATTTACCCATGAACGGCCGAAGAGTTTGTGTCATTACCCGCATGAAGGTACTCGGCGCATTACTTAGCCCAAAAGGCATGACCAGCCATTCATAAAGGCCATCTTTCGTCTTAAACGCGGTCTTCCACTCGTCCCCTGGGCGAATTCTAATTTGATGGTACCCACTCTTTAGATCGATCTTTGAAAAGATTGTCGCGCCAACCATCATATCCAGCATATCATCAAGCCTGGGAGTGGGAAAACGATACTTCACCGTGATCCTATTGATAGCGCGACTATCCACACACATTCTCCAAGATCCATCCTTTTTGGGCGTCAATAGGGCGGGGACAGCACATGGGCTTAAACTCTCACGAATGAATCCTTTGTTGAGAAGGTCATCCACTTGCCTTTGGAGCTCAGCGTGCTCGGTAGGATTCATCCTATAATGAGGCAAATTTGGAAGAGATGCACCGGTGACGAAATCTATGGCATGTTGAATATCTCTTAGCGGAGGTAGATGATCAGGTAGGTCCTCCGGAAAGACATCTCGAAACTCCTGAAGGATCGATTGGACATCCGCAGTATCCTCACTTGTGGAGTTAGATGAAACTTCCATGACTACTAAGGCGAACACAATTGAGTCACCAACAATTGTACGCTCAAACTCTGTAGGACTAATGATATGCAACCCCTTTTGTTCCACACTTTTCTTCAATTCTAGTGAGCTAGCCGACTTTGGGGGTAGTGGGTTAAGGTGAATCTTCTTTCCATTAAACACGAAGGAGCAGGAATTGGATCGACCATATATGGTTACATCTAGGTCAAATAGCCAAGGTCGTCCTATGATGACGTGCCCGACGTCCATCGAAATAACGTCACACCATATATGGTCCTTATACTCCAGGAACTGGATAGGGACTAAACAACGCTCCTTAACAGCTATAGAGGAGGTGTCAACCCAAGAGACACTATAAGGTTAGGGGTGAGGAACTGGCTTCAACCCTAGACGGGATATAGTAGCCTTCGAAACCGCATTAATACAGCTGCCACTATCCACGATAACTTTACAGCCCTTGTTATTAATCTTGATGTAGGTGTGGAAGATGGCATGACGGCGCCAATCGTCAGCATCCTTCGGCTGGGTGAGGGTGCAACGGACGACACCGACTCTGGGTGTATGTGGGATAATGGGACTAGCCTGAATACAACCTAAGAAGGTATCCTCACTGTCCTCCAAGTCTTCAAACTCTTCTAACTTAGGCTCATAAACCTGATCCTCTGGTGGTTCGACGACTATATCCTCACATTCGTCCAGAACTAGGGCTCGGCTAGGGCACTTAGAAGCAATGTGACCAAAACCCTTACAGTTGAAGCATTGCAAACGGGAGGATGTCCTTGAAACCTCAGAACCTCTACCTTTGCTATCCGATGCAGGGGTAGTATTAGAGGGAGGAGGACCTAGAATAGACTTAGGGGATGGCGTGGATGCAGATGAGGTTGTAGTGCGGGAGTCACTACGATTTCTATACGGTGTCCTAGTCACTAATTCATAATCCCGAACGAAAGAGTAGGCGTGGTCGAGAGTGGTGACACCCCTAAGGACAAGCTCGCGCCTAAGTTCGTCTCTTAAACCTTGCCTAAACCTACTGAAAGTCATAACTTCATCCTCAACAACCTGACATTTCATTCGAAACTCATCAAACTGAGCAACATATTCGGTCACAGGTCGATTGCCTTGTGTAAGTGCGTTCCATTGATCCAGCAAGTTACCCCTATAAGATTGGGGTAAATATTTTTCTTGAAGGCGGCGCTTCATTTCATCCCAGCTCCCAACAGGGGGAGCATGACACCTTTCAAGGAGGTCCTCAACACTCTCCCAAAAGAGTTGAGCAGTGCCAGTTAACTTCAAACTGGCAAATTGTACCCTCCAATCTTCCGGGACCCCATACCATGCAAAGAAGCGATCCATATCTCTAACCCATTGATTGAATGCACTAGGATCTAGACAACCGTTGAACGTAGGGGCATCCAACTTAATGTTTCGAAAGAGGCGCTCCTCGTGGCGAGGGGGAGATTGTGTACCATGACGGTAATACCTCCGCTCTCGTTCCCGAGCCTGATTCCCTTCCCTACGACCATGTCGGGCGTGGTGTCGACCACCTTGTGGGCGACGATGAGGCCTATTAATGGAAGCCTCAGAGTTCTCAGCCTCGGTCGAATATGGGATTGGGTCAAGAGTATTCAACCTAGCGGTTAGGGCTCTATTCTCTTCACGAGTAGCGGCTACCTCAGTTTGGACAGTTGTTAGTTGATTTTGTAATTGTGCAAGCTGTCTGGTGAGGGCCTCAATTTGGGCGGGGTCCATGGTAAGGTTACTAGAGCTAGAGGCAGTAACGCGACCACTACGCAATTGCATACACGGTAACACGATTACGTAAAGTGCACTACTCAGATCAATAATCAACAATCAACTAATGCCAACCGAAGAATTAGTTATTGAAATTATTATTAT